TTTCGGCACATGGGCCTGCAAAAGTTAAATTCTTTTAATTTTTTTAGTTAATCGATGTAAAAAAGGATGTTGACGAGCTAGAACAAGAAAAGGATAGATTTTGTTGGGAAATTGACATTCTCGGTCAACAGCAAGAAGAGCTAGAGCAAGTTGTTAAATCATTCGAAAGTCAATTTAATTTGCCGACGCAGCAAGATTCTACAATTATTGGGGGATCACAGGTTTTTTCTATTTTTTTGGCAATAGTTCCTTTATTTATTACATTTGGTTTTATGTTAGTGGTTATTTTTTGGAGTTGGCAGCATTCGAAACCTACGTAAAATGGGTCTGTGGGGTTTTAGTTTATTAGTACCATCTTGGATTGCCTGGTTTTAAAATTGATCAATAACTGACCAGAAATTGTGCTAATAAGTAAGCGGGTATCTCCAGACCCTTATTTCTCAAAACCAGAATTGTCAAACCCAAACAAGAATATATAAAACGGAAAGATAGGCGAACAATAATACAACCTTTTTTTCCTTTTAATTTATTTTTTTAGCTTTTTGCTAATTCTGATAGTGCGACACCAGCGGATGTTCAACGAAAAAACATGTATTTTTTTCATTAAACATTACTCTGATAATTTCAAATTTTATAGTTTGCAGTTACAAATTAATATTAATGCACAATTGAAGCTTTTAGACGACGAAGTTGGAAATCTTTGTGGACAAGTTTATTTTTAAAATTTTCTTTCTTTTATTCAGATTTTTTAAATTTAGATTTCGGATCTTAAACGTATTGCCGGTCTTTCTTCATCAACTATTGCAGAGGATGACCAAGAAAAGGCAGAGGAACTTGAAAATCGTTTAACTTCGGTTGATCAAATCCGTCAGATTTTGCGTTCACAATTGGAGAGTCTTATTTGGGTGGATAAACATTCTGGTATTTTCTTTTAAATTATTTTTTTGTTTTAAACTTTTATCTGGCGGTAATAAAAGGCATTTGCGGTTTTGTATTTTCGGACTGACATTTGCAGACAAAAATTTACTATATTTTTTAATTATTATTCGAATAATTTTTTTTATAAATAGAACTTTAAGTCAATAAAATTTTATTATTTTTTTATTAACTTTGTAGAAGATTTTAAAATAATGTATTGAATCCGCAAATGTCGGGTGCAAATGAGGATCCGCAAATTTCAGCCATCCCACCTCCATAGTAATTTTTTAACCTCCCAATCAGAAAACACAGTTCTTCTTGAACTCCCTTAATCAAAAAAACGGGTGAATAAGGGGTGTGAATTTTTATTTAAAAATATTATTTTAGATGCATTACTTGAACGTGTTCAACGTGCTACTTCTGATATTTTAACTTTACAATGAGGTACACAATTTTTTTTTCAATAATGATTATCTCAAAACATAAATGTTTTAATTTATGAATATTTTCTTTTTTTTAGAGCCCGTCTCGATTTTATTTTTTGATATTTAATCTAAAAATGCCTATCAAACCTTTCTAGCAGGGCTCTAAAGTCTATTTTTGGTTTTATTTATTTGGATCTACCAATTTTATTTTTTTTTGTTGATAAAAATATGAAAGGATTTTTGAAGTATAATTTCCATCCCTGCTAGCTAAAAATAAAAATATTTTTTTTTATTTTTAGAGAAAAAAAATATATTTTTATGCAAAAGAGTAGTCGTGCTTGCTTTGCTTTTTTTGCAAATATTAAGGATTAGACGATTATATATAAGAATATATATTTATTTTTATTTTTACTCATCCATGTAAAAATAACCACGAGAGTTTTTTTTTGTTTGTATTCTCGAATAGTTTTTGGTGCAAATATCGAATGATTTTTAGTCTTTTGTGTGGTTAAACTAGAAAATTGTTGGGGGGACTTTAATTTTTATTTTTAAAAAATATTCGTAAAAATAAAAATCCTGGAGAGGAAAAAATAAAAAAAAATCTGAAAAACTCCAAAAAATTTGAATATTTAAACAATCTTTTTTATACTAAATGTTCGAATATTTAAGGATTTAAATAAAATTATAAAAATTAAAACAAAATTTAATTTGGACAAAACTATCAAAAATCTAAATTTGCTAGGCAACCCTTTAATAAAATAATTATTAGAGAAATTAAATTAATTAAGTACTTTCTAATAAATTAAACTCAAGTTTAAACTTAAGTTTATACTTATTTAAATTTAAGTTTACAACTTAAAATAAACTTAAGTTTGCAAACTTGAGTATTTGCTATAATCTTATTTTTTTATTTTATTTTTAATTTAAGTAATTTAATACTCCAAGTAAACAGATTAATTTTGGTAATCTTTTATAAAAATAAATATGTATTTAGTTCATTTTTTTTTGATTCTAAAGAGAACGATAACAAAATAAATATTTAACAAATAATAATTCAACATATCCAGTTCTTTAAACGATAGACAACAACTAACAAAGCAATAATAATAATTATTTTATTATTGACAATTTGTCAATCAGAGCACATGGGGGCCTCTAATATATTATTTTGTTATATAGAATTATTATTATTTTTTTCTAACTTGCTCCCTCATATTTGTTGGCTGTTTTTCACTTTTTTTAGTAGTTAGTAGAAAATATAATATTCAATTGCATCCATTGCCTTTTAGTTTTTTGGTTGTTTGCATTTCCTCTTACACTCATTGAAGATTTTTTCTGCATTTTTTTTATTTTTACTTAAATTGATTTTTCTTAAAACCATTTGGAACCAATTTTCGCATGCTTATAACAGAAGAGTATTTTTTGAGCAATTTAACTAAAACTTGGATAGCCCCTACTTAAGGGTAATTCATTCATGACTAATACAAAAATAATAAATAGAGCATAAAACTTAAGTTTGTAAACTTTTAAGTTTAAAACTTAAGTTTATTAAATTGTTAAAAAAATAAACTTGAAGGAAAACTTAAGTTTACAAACCTTGTGAATTTAATCATGTGGAGGTTGGCTGTGGTTAAGTTGGAAAGTGTTGTGTTTCGCTGTTTTTGAATCTTTAAATGTTTAAAGTTCGATCCTACTGTTAGGAAAAATTTTTTTTGTTTGATTAAAAAATTATTATTATAAATTTTAACAAAACTAACAACTTCTAAAAATTATTCTTTTATTAATTTTGGCTCAATTTCTTATTTTTTTCCTTTATTATTTTTCTCTACATAAGTTGACATTTCTAATTAAAATAATAATTATTTCGATCATTTTTTGATTGTTCAAATTGATCAAATTTTGTGTGATTAATCATACGATTAATCATTTTGCATTCTATTTTTAAATTAATATTTATGGGAATTAAAAAGAATATTTTTTAGTATAATTTTTTTAAAAAAGAAACAACAAACAAAAATTAATTACTTCCTTCAATTATGGCCTTATTCCAATAAAAATAAATAAAAATTAATTTAAATTAAATTAACCCCTCTTATGCCAAAAAATTAAAAAAATATTTAATTTATTTCTAAATGCGCAGCACAAAAGAGTTAAGTCAGTGGCTAGAGGCTTGTGGACTTAACCAAACCCCTTGGGCTTCTGATCCAGCCGATTGGGCAACCTTATTAAATTTATTAACGAGATTGTTACATTCTACGTTGGAACTTAGGTTTTAATTTTGGAAAAATGGAATATTTTGAGAATTAAAAAAATTAAAGGATTAATGCTGAAGAAGAGAAAAAACGAAAAGAAGCAATAAAAAATAATGAAAATCAGGAGGATGAAGAGATTAATGAAAGGGAAGAATCAGAATCTACTTCACGTCAGGAGGAAGAGGAGGACCATCAAAAATTATTGAGAAGTCCGTCAACGGTATATCCGGGCACTCAACTGCCGTTTCAAGAGGTATCTGATTATTTGGTAATTCTTCGGTTTTCGCCCCCCCTCCTTTTTCGTTCATCAAAGTATTAAAAAATGGTCAGTCAATATTAAGTTATACAACTCGTCGAGCTGTGTCGAATGACACCAAATCAACAAAATCCGACTTGATTGGACCGAAATACAGACCCTGAAAATTGAAAAACCATAGGGGCGAAAAATCATGTGGACGAAAATTCATACAAATGATACATCATTCGAAAGAGCTCGTCGAGCTGAGTCGAATGACATTAAAATCGAAGTGATTGGACAAGATTTGACAAAGTTATGACATTAATTATACCTATCGAAGTCGGCAACTTATGTCATAACTTTGTCAAATCTTGTCTAATCAATCCGATTCTGGTGTCATTCGACTCAGCTCGACGAGCTCTTTCGAATGAGCTATCATTTGTATGAATTTTCGTCCACATGATTTTTCGCCCCTATGGTTTTTCAATTTTCAGGGTCTGTATTTCGGTCCAATCAAGTCGGATTTTGTTGATTTTGGTGTCATTCGACACAGCTCGACGAGTTGTATAACTTAATATTGACTGACCATTTTTTAATACTTTGATGAACGAAAAAGGAGGGGGGGCGAAAACCGAAGAATTACCGATTATTTGATGTTGAGTTGGTTGAGAAGGGGAATAATGTATTGGGGGTTTATATTGTCTGGAAATGTGACAGATAAATTAAATAATATTTTGTTAAAAGAATTAGAACTATTAAAAATGTGGGATTGAAATACTTTTGAAATTTTTAAAAATAAAAAAACTTTCTGACATTGACTTTAAAACAGTAATTTCTCAAATAATAATTTTGTTGGAAAAGTCCGGTTTAAGCAAGTTTCTTAGCAAGTTTATAAACCTTAATTAATTTTAATAAAACTTAAGTTTGCAAACTTAAGTATGCTTTTTTATAAGCCTAATTAACGATCCATTAAAAAGTAGTTCGCAAAAGTAACGTGAAGATTAACTTTTTAATTTTTTAAAAATTGGTGTTCCTTGATTTTTATGGAAACTTAATTATTATAATTTAGTGTAAATTCTATTTAAGGAAAAAAGATTTTTTGCATTTAAGGCCCTAGAACTTGCAGAAAAAGTGTTAGGAGTTCCTCAATTTACTGTGATTGCAGACATGAAAAAAAGTTTGGCTGAAGATCAGTTAGCACTCTTTGTTTCATTTTGTGCTTTGAGATATGCTGTTGAACATGTTGATACTAGTTGGGGTTTTTTTTGAAAAATTGAAAATTAAAAATTATTTAAGAGCCTATACATGATTTTCAATTTACTTTTCGTATTTATTTTAATATGGATTTGGATGGAAGTAAAAGGGAATGTAATACTTGTGGTAATATTGTTCACCTAATTGAAAGGTTGATAAATTGACTAAATTTTAATTAAAATAAATTTTAATTTAAATACTTAAATATTGAAAAATGAAGAAATTTTTGTAGAAAAATTTAAAAAATACATATTTATAACTTTGAAAATTTTAATTCAAAATTAGAACGTTCTCCTCGTTAAAAATTATTACTAATTTTAGTAATAATATTCAGGGGATATGAACAATGGATTTAATTTTACTTTAATCTGGAAAATATAATTTCTAAGGGTTCGGTCTTCTACTATAATAAATACCTAACGAACTGTTAAATTATTCCGATCCTCAATCTTTCTGTGACTCTTTAAAATAAAAATATTTTTATAACATTATTTTAAAAAACTTAATAATTTATTTAAGAGTAACACTAATTGGACGTATATGGCATAGAGCATGTTTAAAATGCTCTTTGTGTGGTCGACAACTTTATAGGGGTTTTAAAAATTTGAAAATTATTTAAATTAATTTAAATTAAAAAGGTGCTTTCTATTTACTTCATTTTTCCGATGCCTCAATACGTATGGAATGTGTGGAACATGGAGCTAATACTATTTTGTTTGGGGACCCTAAAGTATTTTTTTGAAAAAAATATTTTAATAGAGACATTTAAGCAAGATAGAGAAATTCAGTCAAATTAAATATTTCCTGAATTAAAAGGATAACAGATAAAATTTTTATTAGACATTAAAAATTTATGTAGGATCGAAACGAGATCTCGAACAAAAATCGTTTTATCTCGTATGACGACTCCAGGTTCGGTCCCTAATTGAAAACTTTATCAAATATTTTTGAGGCTTGAGTGTGTTCAGTCCCGTGAACTTGTGCCTTTTTAATGATTCTAACAAATTTTTTTCAGCACAGACTAGCATTACCACCACCCTTACCTCCTCCAATCACTTCTTCACGTTTATCATTTATTGGATCAGAAAATATGTTAAATAAAAGAGCCTCATCACTACTTTCTTTGTCTTCGCCTCCTCCCCGCCCTCCACCTCCACGTCTACCAAGCATCGATGCAGTCAAAAAACATACAAAATCAAACATATCAGAAGAAAAAGATTTGAAGGTTTTTGGAAAAAATTTTTAATTTTTCTCAAAGAAAATTTTTTTGAAGGATTCTTCTACTTCAAAAGAGGAAGAAGAAAGCATTGAAAGCAAAATTGCTTTAGCTGCGGCTGCGTGTCATGATGCCCCAATTCCCAAACCTCGTGTATCGTTGCAACAAGCTTGTAATAAACAACAACAACAAAAAAATGGGGAAAAGACTTGGGAGGTTAAAATATAAACTTAAAAAGAAAACTATTCCTCAGTTAGCCTTAAGAGATAGGGGAATATGTAAAGAATGGGTATTGGAAAATTTTGAAATACGCGAAACTTGAAAAATATATATTAAAAGTTGGGATGTGATCCATTAATAATCCATTAATATCGAAAAATAAAATATGTGGGATAATGTGAATTTAATCTGGGAACACAATTTACTTTTCAGAATTATACATACATTAAAATACTAAGCATTTTTTTGAAATTTCGTGGAAAACTAGGTCTGCCTGGCAGGGCACAACCCACGATTTTTTCAGCTCTGACAAATGAGTGGGTATTCTTTTAATAAAGTTATGAATTGTATAGTGAATCTTTTTTTTTTTAATTTACGAGAATTTCTTAAAATTTCCTTAACAATTTCTAAATTCCAACCAAAATCTAGATATTGGAATACCCTTCAGAATTAAATCCTTTTGGTTCTGATGATGATGAAGAGGATGAAGCAGACGAAGAAAAAGAAGAAGACAATTCTCTTAAGGAGTCCAAGGAATCTCAAAAGGAAAATTGTGATAAAAATGGTAAAGAGACAGAGAAAAGGCCAGTTTCTGTTATTAATCCATTTGATGATACTGATGAAGAAGAGGATTTAAAGGAAGATGAGGAAATGAATGAATCTTTATCTTGGTGAGAGTTTTATTAGTGGAGTGAGGACTCTCGACTATAGTTTTACTAGGGGATAGATTGATGTTGAGAAAATTTCTCTGAAGAAACAAGAATCTCGGCCCGTTGCTTAAACAACATGGCTCCCAATACAAAAACGAAATAACTAAAACCTACACGTATACAAATCCAACATTAAGTCTTTCAGAACGGGATTATAACGAGAGTCTATTACAATATACCTATTTCCTACCTCAACCTTTATTTTTAATTTTTAGTTCACCTTTGCCCAAAATTGAAGAAGTCAAAGAACAAGAAGAAAATCTTCAATCACCTACTAATCCTTTCGATAAAAGCGATGATAAAACTGAGGGGGAAGAAGAAAAGTGCCCTCCAAAAGTTAAACAACGCCAACAGCAACAAAATATTCATTCACCTCCCCCACCTCCCCTTCCACCTTCTTTTACACCTCAAAATCGCCCTACAAGTGAAATTATTTCTTCTACAAGTTGTGCATTCCAATCAAATAATAATCAGAATATTCCTCAAAAATCGCCAAACAATTTATTCGAGAAACCAAAATGTTTTCAGGTGGGTGGTTATTAAAGAATCTCCATCTTATCTTCCCTCTAGACATCAAAGCTTTATCCTATCCCCTCAACTATAAAGATATCCCCAACTTATCCCAGTATGGTCTCATGCTTCCTTCCATTATACAATACCATCTGTCTCAGTTTCCCAGATATCCTGAGTTGTGGATGCTCATTAGTGATTCTCGGGAGAAGAAAAAACTCCGGGAAACGTGAGTTGGGGTGGGATACCCAAACATTACTAAGGGTCGGGATACCCAAAAAGAGGGATAAGATAGAGCTTTTTTGTTTGTTTTGATGTTTAATGTCTTAAATAATTTTTTGTGTTTTTTCTAGTACATTCCCCCTCTTGGACCGATGCCATATAGAACTTGTGTTGAAGTTAAGCATTTTTCTGATAAAATTGTAAGATTTATTAAAGCCAAAAATAAAGGAGAAATAATTTTTAAATTTAAAGGAGGACGAAAAATCTTCGTCTTCAGATCATTCACTTTTGCACGAATTAGACACAAAATTGAGGAGGTTACATGCACAACTTGATCATTTAGAAATTACTGGGGAAAGATTGGAAGGGCAAATTATTAGAGAATTAAATAAAGAGGATTGCCAAATCTGGAGAAAAAGTGGAAAAAGGTTGGCTAGTGAATATGCCAAAATTGTCGAGCAAAGATGTGCTGCTTTGGCAATGGAGGCTATTTTGGTTAGAAGGTGAATAATAAATTAAGCCTTTCAAATTTTTTTATACATAATTCGGCTTTTTCTAAATTTCCAAAAGTTGGTTGTTTAAATAATTAGTCAAAATGTCTGAATATCCAAAATCTGCAATACTTTCCATTTTTCAATTTCAATTCTTACTTTTCTTAATATTCAAATCAAAGATATTTATAGCCTAGGGTCATTTCCAAACGAAATTTTCCTTTTTCAACTCGGGAAATTTTGGGTTGACTCGCAACTCTTCCCGAGACATAGTGAAGGGTTATTTACCATGGAAAAAGTTGCTCCAACATCGGGGGATGTTGGGTGGCAAAATAATCTGTCTGGTAGTTGATGATGAACTTGACTTTTAGAAAAATAAAAAAATTAGCGAACCCTCATAAAGAGAAAACCAGGCCCTCCTTCCGAATACAACTGCTAGGGGAGACAATGTAAATCAGTCATCTTTAAACAAAGTGGATACTCTGTTTAAATCATAATTTACATGCATGAGCAGGAAGAGGGATTGACCCTGCATTCCCTCCCCTCACGAAATGGGAGAGATCTCAGAGAGAGTGTGACTCTCTCCTTCCTAACAGGAGACGGCAGCCGGTGGTTCACAATGGCTAATAATTTTTGGGGTAATATATAACTGGCGGTTATTCAATTAAAAATATTAGATGATGTGTAAACAAAAGGTATCATGACTTTTGCGCCGAGAACATTTGCGCCGCGACTTATGCGCCGCGACTTTTGCGCCGGGCGACTTTTGCGCCGCGACTCTTGCGCCGCGACTTTTGCGCCGGGCGACTTATGCGCCGCGACATTTGCGCCGCAATTGTTTAGAAAATCCGGATCCGAAAAATGCCGGATATCCGAAATTTTCAGTTCGGATATCAGATCCGAAGATTTCCAACTATTCGAAAACCCTACTAAAGTGAGGTCCGGCTGTAGTTATTGATATATTTTTAATGATAGTGGCGGCGCAAAAGTCGCCCGGCGCAAAAGTCGCGGCGCAAAAGTCCCCCGGCGCAAAAGTCGCTCGGCGCATAAGTCGCGGCGCAAAAGTCGCGGCGCATAAGTCGCGGCGCAAATGTTCTCGGCGCAAAAGTCACGGAACCAAACAAAATACATAAAATTCCCTTTAATTTCTACACTTCTCCATCTCTACAACATTTCCGTTTCAGAGAGAAAGAGAGTCCGTTTCAAATGCATAGTCTGTGCAATTTTTAGAGATTCTTTTTCAAGCTTTTCCGGCTGCCGTGTCCTGTTGGGAGGGAGAGTCTGTTCCACCAACTCAAAACAAAAAAAGGAAACTTTGAAAAATCTTTTTTGTTTCGAATTTTTATTCAACAAACTACTCAATTTTTCAAATAAAAATTAATTTTTAAAAGGTATATGGACGTTTATTTACGTCTAACACATTCTCAATTGGATATTCAATTGGAAAATGTTTTATTAACTGGTAAATAAATTTAAATATTGGACATATTAATTAAAAAAATTTTAAAACAGAACCTAAAAAACAACAACAATTAAACGAATTATTAGCCCAACTTTTACACATTCGAAATGAATTGACTCAATTAGAAAGCCGTGAAAGGGAAGCTAAGAATGCTGCTGCGTCTGCAGCTACTCGTGATTCTAATAAAGGTAAAATATAAATGTTGTTGTTTGGAGGGGAGCTGAAGAGTTTCTGAGATTGTTAATGATGTTCGGAGAACTTAGTCACCTTTAAGGTTTTAATCAGATTTCCGAGAATAGAATTTTTCCAAGTCTTCCCAATATACAGAAAATTTTAATAGAAGTTCATCCCTTATTTAAGCCCATCCCTATTAAAAGCCCATACAACGATATTTATTGGAATTAAACGTCCAATGCTTCTATTAGGATTTGTATTGACTAGGGTTGTCGGTTCTGGGCCGAACCGAAGAACCGATGATTTTTCGGTTCGGTTCCGGATATCCGAAGATTTTCCAGGAACCGTCACCCCTAGTATTGACGTGTTCTTTACTCGTTAATTTTCTATTTTATTAAATTTTTAGACGAAACTTCATCACCTAAAAAAGCCTTAAAAACAAAAAATAAAGGAGAAAAATCTTCTCCACGAAAAGAATCAACAAACGAAGAAACAATTAAACAACAACTACCAACAACCTCGGGTGGACCAGTTGAAAAAGAAAAATCGAAAGGTGGAGGAGGTAGTCGTTTGTTAAAGAATACATTGAAGAGCTTGAAAAAGAATCTCTAAAAATTCGAAAAAATATTTAAAATTAATTAATGCTGGTTATTTTTGAAATGGACGGGAGGATTTAGGCTAGATTTTGGACCTTAACTAATCTCTTGGCCGATTTGGATAATCTTTATATCGATCGAAAGCTCTGAATTTGAGATTGATATTCCTGAAAGGATTGATCTTATTAGTTAATCTTCTGTGAGTTACAGTCTGATAAGTGAGCGCAATCGTGATTTTTGTAACTCGAATGGCTCTAGCTTTCATATGAGCTTTTCATATACTAATCTGAGCAAATCAACTTGTGAGGAAAAGCTTTCTGTCAATATAAAAATTATTCAACTCAACTAAGAAATAAAAAAAGTTTTGTTACAAATAAGGCCATAAATCTTGAAAAATTAACTTCAGGATATATCCTCACTAATCACCCCCCACTAATTACTTTTTCTTGTTGAATGTTCCTTAAGATCCTATATCCTCATCCCTTCCCTCAAAATAATCTTTTCCCTCAAAATAAAACCCCTAAATAAAATACACAGTATTCCCTCTATATATACTATAAAATACATAATTACCTAATTCATTATATTATTTTTAATATTATTTTTTCGTGCGTGTTTATTTCTTAAACCAAATAACTTTTTTTTAATTATTTAGTATTGTCCCAATTTTCTTAAATTAATAAATTAATATAATTTTCTTACTTTAAATAAAGCTTTTAGGAAATTCCTCTCGTCGGCTCAGTGGTCTAGTGGTATGATTCTTGCTTAGGGTGCAAGAGGTCCCGGTTTCGATCACCGGCTGAGCCCAATTTTTTTAAAAATTATTTAGGAATATTTCTTTTGGGTTTATAAATTTTTCTATGACCGGTATGATCTAAAAAAAATTTTTTTTCATTTTTTGGGGTCCTACAGCAACCTTAAATTTATTTTAAACTGAATTTAAATTTCCCATAAATTTAAATATTTAATTTATTGTCTCTGAATAATTTTAAATTCATTTTTAGGAATTTCCGAGATTTATATTCCTTTCTAGAAGGAATTTTATTTTATTGAAAAATGCCAGAAAATTTTTTAAATAAATATTTTATAAAACTTTCCATAAAAATAAAATTTATGGTGATCCCGCATCAATATGCCTTCTTAATGAATGACTAAATTCAACAGTATCTGCAGTTTCTTTTTCATTTTCTTCTTCCTCTTCCTTTATAGACTTGGCACTCTTTAAACGAGGCACTCCAACATTATCACAAATTTGATCCAAAGTATTTTTATTTAAATAATTCCTAACATCTATTCGTGGACGTGAACGTTGTTCGCAATGCTCAATTAAGCTCCAAGCCTTTAAATTAATTTAGAATAACGAGGGAATTTTGGAAAATAATTTATTTGGGTATATAAAATACTAACATAAATGAATCTGGTTTTTATCAAAAAGTTCAGCAACTTCTTGTTTTTCCAAAATTCTCAAAATTTTCCTATTACGCCGCCTGTAGCTTTATTTAGATTTAACGGCTGAAGACTTTTGTTCTTTTCCCTAGAACCGACATGTAGCGGCTTCGAAAATCACTAGCTCCGGAACCAAACTTTTAAAATACCCGGAGCCGGTGCCACAAAATGTTCAATACCTCTCCCTTCAAATTTACCTTTAAAACGTTATATTTTCCTCTTTAAAATAAATATCAATCTTAAAATTTCACCTTTCTAAAATTATTCCTTTTAACATTATGTCCAATCAGAATAGCATAAATATCACCTAACCGAACAATCGAATCAATGTCTGGACGTTCAGAAAATTCACCCAATTGCCTCATAGATTCGCCTGGATCCTTTTCATATAACCTTTAAAAAAATTAATTTTTAAAGAGAATATTTTTTCCTCAAAAAACATTTTAATATCCAAAAATCGCTGTATTATTTCCAAAGTTTCTCTCAATTGTTCTTGTCTCTCTGTTAAATAAAATTGTTGTTGTTGCTGTTTTTTAACATCAACTTTTCCCTTATCTATTTTTTTATTTAAACAACGTATAGCTTCAGAATAGGCAGCTGCTGCTTTTTCGTAATCGTGATATTCTTCAATTTCTACCTTCAAAAGTAGGGTAAAAGGGGTAGCTTGTGGAAGGATACAGTCACTTATAAAATAGCCTAACGGGAAGCTATGGCCTTTAAATTTTGTAAAGACAACCCCAATACTGTTATTTACCTTATTTTAAAATTTCAGAATTTTTGGTTGTGTATTTCAAAAGTTATAGGCGAAAACCCAGAAATGATCGAAATTTCTCAAAAATTCGACCATAACTTCCGAAATACAAAACCAAAATTCTGAAATTTTAAGAGAAGCTAGTTGACAATATTAGAGATATTTGTGCAAATTTTCATAATTCTAGGTTCTCTTTTGGCTATTTTATAAGCGATTAATGTCCAGCACCTGAGCACATGCTTCATAAAAATTAGCAAGTAAATCAACAGCCCCAGCTTTTAAATAAAATGCTTCAATTTGCCTCATTAATTGAGCATTCTCTTTCCAATTTAAATTTTGTAAATAATTGCCAGCCATTCGGTAAATGTCTTTATCTCTAGCTGTATTGGCAAAAAGGATAACTTTTTGGGTATCTCCAGATTTGAGTAAAGCACGCATTGCCTGTTAAAATTATTTGTAGTTTATAGAAAAAATATAAAGGAAGAGAGTTAAAGAAGGATGGTCCGGATTTCGGATTTTGGGTATCGGTACTCGGATATTTCGTGACATCCTTGATATATGTATACTTGGGATTTAAATACAGGCAG